AGTATTTCTGATAATCGAGTCACTGTGGAAAAAGTTACCTCGGACTTCTCGAGATGTACACATAAAGCCCCTTCAGGAATATTTTTATTAGTAAATTTTATGTTTTCGTTTTTTTTATTTTTCGGTTCATCGTTGATTTGATATTTCTGCTAACTTCAACCTCAACTAAAGCGCGTAAGTATTTCTGATAATCGAATCTCTCTGAAAAAAGTTACCTCAGACTTCTCAAGACGTACACATAAAGTCCTTACAGGAATATTTTTATTTATAAATTTTATGTTTTCGTTTCTTTTATTTTTCGGTTCATCGCTAATTTGATATTTCTGCTAACTTCGACTTCAACTAAAGCGCGTAAGTATTTCTGACAATCGAATCACTCTGAAAAAAGTTACCTCAGAGTTCTCAAGACGTACACATAAAGTCCTTACAGGAATATTTTTATTTATAAATTTTATGTTTTCGTTTCTTTTATTTTTCGGTTCATCGTTAATTTGACGTTTTTGTTAACTTCGACGTAATATAAAGTCCGTAAGTATTTCTGATAATCGAATTAATCTGAAAAAAGTTATCTCGCATGTTACCATGATGTGCACATAGAGCCCTTACAGGAATATTTTTATTTATAAATTTTATGTATTCGTTTTTTTTTACTTTACGATCCACCGTTAATTTGATATTTCTGCTAACTTCGACTGCATATGAAGGGAGTAAGTATTTCTGATAATCGAATTACTCTGAAAAAATTTATCTCACATTTTACGAAGATATGCATATAGAGCCCTTTCAGTAATATTTTTATTTATAAATTTTATGTTTTCATTTTTGTTTACTTTGCGATCCACCGTTAATTTGATATTTCTGCTAACTTCGACTGCATATGAAGGGAGTAAGTATTTCTGATAATCGAGTCACTGTGGAAAAAGTTATGTGTTTTAAGTTATGTGTTAAAGTTTTCTGTTTTCTTCTATTTTATTTTTCGGTTCATCGTTAATTTGATATTTCTGCTAATTTCGCCTTTATATAAAGTCCGTAAGTATATCTGATAATCGAGTTACTCTGAAAAAAGTTATCTCACATTTTATCAAGAAGTACATATAGAGCCCTTTCAGAAATATTTGTATTTGTAACTTTGATGTTTTCGTTTCTTTTTTCTTTCGGTTCATCGTTAATTTGATGTGTTTGTTAACTTCGACTTTATA